TTATTTGAGCTATTTGGTTTTTGAATGTTGTAAACCAAACCCCCCCCCCCCCTTCTCCCTCCCTAACTGTACTGGGAAGTGAATCTGCCGGGGAGTTTCCGCCACTCTTAAAACCTGGGTTAACTACATTTCAAGGCTGATGGAACCTAGGACCCATAAGATTCCATCGAACCATCGAATTGCTCATTTCCCTTCCCTTCTAAGGAAGGTGAATAACACTTCATATGCCCCTTTGAATCTGTGACGGATATAAGGATCAAAATTATTCAAAGGCATTAGAAGACCCTGTTCAGTGTCGCCTATCTTGGAAGATCATCCTCATCAGGTTCATAGAAGATAGAGGATAATGTTGACTGGCGTTAATCGATCCCTTGTGTGAGATTCGTCTTCACATTCGACTACCATTCAAAATCGTGATGGCCTTTTGAATGCGTATGTGGCTCTTATAAGGAATTTCAGTGGCCAGCCGATGTTGCAGTCAGTGTGGTTGTCAATTGTATCAGTTACTCGACACCGAAGGGTTGGTAAGCTTAATGGTAAGCCCCGAGGGTTAATCGGAAGGAAGGGGCTCCTCTAACTGACAATGAGAACGAATGGAATCACCTTCAATACATTTTCAAGGAGGCTGAATTTTCGTTGTGATGGTTACTTCTCGTTGGTCCACCATGGATCCAGGATTCAATCCCGATCATGCGTGTTTGTTAGTGCCCCAGTTACCAGTACATCACCTCCTCACCGGAACTATTTATTTTCTCTAAATTTAGAAATTGAAATGCAAAAGTGAACTAAAGCTGAAGAACAATGCATAATTTTTCCTTGCGATGTTTTTATTCCCTTTTAATTTTCTATGGCGTTGAGAGACAATGCGTCTCAATCAAGAAAACCCCATAGCTTCAGTTGGATTTATAGCATATACAGAAAGGAATACCCTTTTAAATTCGTTCTGTTGTGGGAGTGAACCTCGAACCTACATCCGGGCCATGAAACAACGCAAATGATGTCCATTCGACAAACTCTGTCATATTTTGAAACATTGACAATAGTATACTCCATATACCTGATTACGGTATGTACAGTTAATGTGGGGTATTCTTTTTTCAAAATAACCCCAGTAGAGAGCATTGAGCACTTTCGCTTTATTTCAGAAGTGCCTTAACATTTGGGTGCGCACTCGTATCTTTCTATAACTTGTTCCCTTGCTTTGACTTGATGTCTCACGAGGTTGGCGATTTGCGGGCAGAACTCCAATCTCAGACAGAGGTCGAACCCATACTTGTGCTTTCCGGGCATCGTGCTCTATCCCTACACTTTCGAGACCCCGCTTGATTAAGAAGGCGAGGGCAAGCGGAAAGCACAAGCACGGGTTCGACTAACGTCAGAGTTTTGCCCACAAATCGTCAACCTTGTGAGACGTTTCCTCAGATTTTTGCAGGCTAACGTTGTGGAATTGTACCACGTTGTTGAAAATTATGAGAATAAACTGAGCTGACATACTTCAAAGATTGCGGTATTGCGTCGACTTTCGATCAAAAAGACAGATTCTACTACGGCACTAGTCGTTGCTATCGTTTTCTCCGATGAAATTCTTTCAAAACACCAATCGTTCAAATATTTTCAGGTGATGGTCAGAGCTTTGGAAATGGGAGCCTGTTAACAGAAGAAATAGGGGGTCCGGGGGTAATAATTTCGCATTATTGACATCGCTTTGCATAATTATCTGATTTAATGCTTTGAGTATAAACAAGGCTTGATGGAGGCTAGCACTGGACATGGAGAACGTTTACCGTCGCTAATGCGAATGAAGTAATGCAACCGGGAAGAACGTCAGTCCATCTTCAACACAATACCACTGTGAGCCTTAGGTTGCGAAGAACTCGTACTCGAGGTCACAGAAATTGAGCTGAAAAACCTTCCCCACACTCCCTTTACTTTGCCCTTTCTGACTATCACCTTTTTAGCCATTTCAAGCTGTTTCCAAGAAGAAGTTCGCCACTTTTGCACCTTAGTTTGATAAATTCGCCAATCGGTAGCCGACTTTTTTTGCCTTACATACCTTCTCCTTCTAGGAGAAAGAAATGACCGACTTGCCTTCACGAAGAAAGGACTGTGAGTCAAAGAACTATTTTCCTGTTGGATGAATCACATAGATAATGATAGTGATTATATAGTGATCAATAAGTGATAATTATTATAAAATTGCTGAAGAATTCAAAACTTGCATACAAGGGTATCTAGACTTTTGCATCAACGTGATGAGTAGATTCCAAGAAGACTGATTGTGAACTGCATACATAGTTTTACCTAGTTTTTTTCCTTTTTGAACGAATTTTCGCCCTTTGCCCTAATTCCACTAACTCTTTCCTTATGACTCAGTTGAGGTGTACCCAGATATTTTCTATGCGCTATACTGCTATGTAGGAGAGCACCTAGATGTGCACTAAGTAATTCAATTGTTAAATAAATTCAATATTAACAAATAAAATTTACAGATAAAAGGTTAAAGCACAAAGTCTTTGGTATCAATCAGTCTGTTCTGGAATGCGCCTCACCTTCGACGTTCATTCAGAATCGTAGTGGAGCACTGAATGCGTACTAGGTGCTGTATCAATGTCATGAGGTGGTCAGGTGATGTAAAATTCGGCGTTTTATCCTCCCAAACAAGTCTGGTACTAGTTAGTCGACCCCAGAGATATTGTAGTTTGGTTGGCCTAAGCATGCAGCGATCCGTGATTCGATCCCGGACAGTGCGTGTGTGATAGTGCGCCACTTGCCACTGCACCATTTTTCCCCGAAAACTCGAAACTAGCTGAAAGTATACCTGATTATGAGGATTCAAATGGGACTGGGCAGAGTTTCACATTTGTACTTCACATTAGTGAATGAGCATGAAGGTCGGCAGTCATTCAGTCCTCCCAGAAATTCATACGAGCATCCGGAGCTTTGTGCTCACCCGTCGTCGGCGTCTCACCACGTCGCCAATCTTCCATTTTCGAAGGCGGGGCATGACGAATTATCTTGGTGTGTGCAGCAGAAGGGTGGAAATCGATTCAGCCACACTCACACCCATCCAGCCGTAGCAGCAACAGCAGCAGCAGCAGCTTGCCCATAGGAGCCGTTAGGAAATAGTGGGCAGTGTTTTGGCTAGTCACCCTACCTAATCAGTCATCTGACTTGCAATAGAACGGCGAGGCGATCCACAAGCTCCCGAGGACGACGGCACCCAGCAACGGTAACAGCGGAAGCCTTCAATGGGCGACTACGACTACCTCATCAAGTTTTTGGCACTCGGTGATTCCGGAGTGGGAAAGACATCGTTCTTGGTAAGTGTAGGAGCTGAGAAATTCCCAAGTTTCGCCTGACCTCCCACGAACAAACCTTCTTTCAGCATCGATACACAGACAACACATTTACTGGTCAGTTCATATCAACTGTAGGAATCGATTTCAAGGAGAAGAAAGTGGTGAGTTCCCATTCTGTTCAATTTTCGGAACAATAACTCCTCGTGTCCTGTTTGGGCGAATTTCCCCAGACTTGTTGACTCGACTCAATTGCGCCCGCCGTTAGGTGATTTTGAGCGAACAGCTGAGCCATAATCAAGGAAATTGTTATACATAAACTCATGTTGTCGCATCGATTTTGCCGTCTCCTTGACATCCATTCCAGTGACTGGACCTTTTCACTACCCCGTTTCATTCCATGAGAGATAAGCTGGGGAACGTACTCCTGATAAGCATGAAATATTGATGCAACATGAGTGGAAATGGCAGACTTCGACTATTTAGGTGTATAAAAGTGCCAGAGGTGGTTTTGGTGGTCGTGGACAACGAGTTCTGCTACAGCTATGGGACACAGCCGGCCAAGAAAGGTGAGACTCGAGTTTCAATGCTACTTGTGACGGAATTGATTTCCTTCCATTTCATAAGCCATTCGCAAAGGACTCCTAGGCCTTCCCAGGTCTTTTTCGTCTATTTTGTTGGAAAAGGGTTTCTTTTTTCAAGGGATAGAGAGACAACCCGGGGGAGTTACTGGCGCCTAATGAGCCTATCTGTCCGTTTTCCTGTTCTCTGTAGATTCGTTACGAGTTCAAGCTCGAGCTCATCAAGCCATTTGCACTTTTCATCTGCTCTGCGGATCAGAAGGCTGACTTCGTTTTTTATCTGAAAAAACGAAGGGATCGGAGATCTAGTCTGTATGAGTATCAGTTTCCCTTATCTACCCTGAAATGTCGCTTTTCGAGATTTCTATAGAATGGCCGTTTAATAGAAACGTCTTGGGCTTAGGACTTATTCAGTTTGACGGACCATTTGGTTGATATGGACTAACACTATGGACTTCTTTTGACAGTTATGCATTACTACTCCTCAAATCAAATGTAGAAGCAGGCTGAGCCTCGCACTCGACTTCCATTCAGAATCGTAGCGACGGTTTGATGGTGCATGTGACCTGTGCAACAACTTGCGGTGGCCGGTCGATGTCCCAGTCAATGCCTTTATCTTTTCAAACGAGTCTGGTACTAACTAACTGCCCCCGAAGAGCTGAAAGGCTTGGTTGTCTAGGTGTTATGGGTGTGTTATACTGCGCAATTTGCCACTACACTAGCTCCGCCTCAGGACAAAAAGGCTTGACTATTTCAAGAGTTCCACACGTTCTGCTGAATTTGCTTTTTGATTTGAAATAATGGGTTGTAACAGCGACTGGATTAGAAACTTATGACATTGAATGCAGAAAACAGTAATCAGGAGCTCTCGGATTCGAAATTACCAAAAATCAGGAACCATGCCGACAAGGGTAAGACCTCGCCTTGACTTGGAACTTTCATATATTGCGGGAATTGTGTGCTGGAAAAGCTCACAGCCAATGAGGCGGCCATTCATAAGCTTCGCATTTGGGTTTTTTCTGGGCAGCCCCTTTTCATTCATTAAGTATTACAATGCATATTTAACATGACAAGAACGGTGGGGATAAAGTCTTCGGCGTCAATCGATCTCACCTTTCTGGGATGTGCCCAGCACTCGACCTTACCTTAGGATCTCAATGGCGTTTTGTATGCGTATTTGGCTATACAACGGCTTGCTGTGACTGGCCCTTCTGAACAAGTCAGAGCTTTTGTCTTCCCAGACGAGTCTGGTACCGATCAACCGACACAAGGATTAGAATACCCGGGATTCGACCTCCGGACCATGCAATTGTGATAGTGCGCCACCTACACCGCATCCACTCTTGTATTTGATATGTAGCACATTCTCTTAGGGTACCGGTATTCCAAATCCTCCATGAATCCAGTCAGGTATGCGTAGCGTATCTTAGCAACCATTTTTAATGCATTCCCATTTCATGTCCCATTATCTTTCTTCTTTTTTCCTTTTCTTCGTATTTTTCCCGATGGAACACCAGGTTTCCTTTTTACAGTATGCCTACCCCATTTAGATACTTCATGGTCTCATCTTTACTGTCTCCGTTTATTGGTACCAATTCTGTTCGAGATAGTGAAAAACGCCGCCTCTCAATAGTGTGGTCGGCCGCCTCATAGACCAAACGCGTAAACCCAGTAATGATTCTGAGGGGAATTCAAATGCATGGCACACTCCGAGATTGGGCTGAACCATGTCAGAAATCTTTTTTTTTTTCTTCACATCACATTTTACTCTTAGTTGCCATGATATGAAGCAATAACAACCAGAAGAATCACAGTAATGGGATGAAGTTCTCTGCGCCACGCATTAGACTTCTAACTCAGGACTATGTAGAAGATTCAAGGATGCTGTAGGATTCCCGAGGCGTTTTGGGATTTTCCGAAATGTCCTCATATGTTACGTTGTAACAGAAGTTTTTACTCAACCGGTTTTCTAAAGGATGGGAATAGCACGTAGGGTAAAGTCTCTGGCGTCAAGAAATCCTTTTAGTATGGATGCGCCTCATATTAGACTTTCATTCAGTATCGTAGCAACATTTGAGTTTGCATGTGACCTATACAAAGACTTGCAATGGCCAACCATATCACAAGTCAGTATTTTCTTACTCCCAAACAAGTCTTTTACAAATTACGTGACCCCGTAGGCAAAGAAGGCTTGGCTAGCTCGGCCATCAAACCAGGATCCGATCCTCGTACCTTCGTAGTGTGATAATGCACTACTTTGTACTACACCACATCCACGTTGCCAAGGCTAACAAAAGATATAATTAGAGTCATCTTAATTACCGTAGATTTAAAAGGAATATTCAAAAGGACATTTTAACGCTGAAATTAATAATGGAATTTTTCTTTTGTTTAATTTCTTCACTATTACTCATTAATTTACGTCGACGTAAATTTCAATGCGGTGCCGAGATGTCAGTGAAGGAGAAAAGCTTAGTTAGCTCCCCTCGTCCCATCTTTTCCCTTTTCCCGTTTTCAAGACCTGTTTGGAAACCGATCTAAGGGAATGGGACAGGGCAACGGGTTCGTTAACCACTATATTACAGCCTTGTTCTTAGGCCTGATATCTACCCTACGTTCCCACCCCTCTAAAGCCTCCGTAAAACTTTCGTTTTTCGAATGGACGCTGCCCTTTCGATTCCGTCTCCATTCATTTTCTGTGACAGTGGGACATAAATTCCCACTAACAGCCTCATATCAATCCAGCCGTAAGGCTTTGGGTTTAGCAAGTGATGGATTGGCCGCTTGACGTCTAAGGACAGAGCCTTTCATCGGAGTACTTAGTGCAGCATGCCATTGTGTATCTCTGGATTGCCGCATTGAAGAACTTTTGTTCTCGCTTTTGTTCTGAGCCCAGAGGAACTTCTGGGGAAGGGGATTCAAAATTCGAATGGAACGAAAATGAATGGTCAGAGCTCGTTTGGCGGACTTAGCGTATTGTTAACTTGGCCAGGGTCCTGTCTCTAAAAAGGTCACAAGGGGTACAGTACTACTGACATCTACTTTTACGTCTGGAGAGTTGCGAATGCTGTAAAACGATAACCTCATGACCAGACAATACACCATTTCCCCGAGTTTGTTCCCTAAGGGACTCCTGGACAGGTTTACAGTGCAAATTCATGGGGAAAGGGAACTGGGTGGGTGGTAGGGATGGGGTCGAAGAAATTCAGTGTCAGGTACAACTCGCTCACTACTGGATGGGGACCGAGAACAAGGTGATTGCCAAGGTACAAAAGCCATCCCTTATCTGAACTCGCTCGAATGCACGGCTCACTCGTTTACGATGCACCCCTTGAATCAGGCTTTACCTGTTTCATGTTATACATGTGGTAAGAGCGGGGGTGATGTAGTGGCGAGTGCGCACCATCACCTACACATGATAACGGGTTCAAATCCCGAATCAATATCCACCTAGCCCAAGCAAGCCTTCCATTCTTCCGGCGTCGATTAAGTGGTACAAGACTAAGCGTGGGAAGATAAAAGCACTGACTTGTACATTGGCTGGCCACCGCAAGTCATTGTATAGGCATTCGTTACGCCACTACGATTCTGAATGGAAGACGAATACATGGGTGCATCCCTCAGACGGGATTAATCAACGCCCAGAAACTTCTCCCTCATCCTTTAGTGATAGACATATGCTCCAAACTTCCAACTATCTTAATGCTTACTAGAAAGGGCACTGCTGTCTTCGTAAGGTTCCCATAGCGATTCAATTCGTCGGAGCTGCTAATATGTCAACTTCTATAAAGGGAATTACTCTGCTGCACAAATTAGTAACAGCGAGCGGCCCCCCTTGAGTGACGCCCGTCTCATGCTTCTCGTATCAGCTGAATGCTTCTAATTCGAGCAAACATCTGCTTCAGTGCTATCACCTTCTGTTACCTAGAAATCTAAATATAAAGGCTAAGGCAATTACGAGCTCCATTCAGACCTAGTTTGATTTCATAGCGGCCAGGACTTCCCATTAAGGCCACATCGAGGTCAGCGATATGTGATCACATGCATACGGTAGCTTCCCTCTCTCCCTGAACAGAAGTCGAGAGAGGAATCACGTGACGCCTATCTATTTTTAGAGCTAGGGGACTCCCAAGGTCATTCCCCCATAACCATGGTACCTTGAACTTGCCCGTGGACGACGTTTCAAAGTGATTCTGTAAAATAATCAGGTAAGCAACTGCCAGAGACCTTCAGTTGCGCAAATTTTCTAGTTTCTCGCAAGTAGAGAAGCAGTGGGATGGCTCACTTATTAAAATGCGCCACGATTGCGTGGGCGCGGTTATTGACCCGGTGCGGCGTGGTTGTTGGTCTGACGAAGAGCTCCATTATGTTGAAAAAATTCAGATTCCGAAGTCTAACGACGGCGTTCTTTCGCGATGCTATGGGTTTTGTCCTAATCTTCGACATCACCAACGAGCAATCATTTTTGAATATTCGAGACTGGCTGTCACAGCTTAAGGTAGGTCCATTCACTTCAATCTCCAAGGTTTTGGGCATTCTTTGATATGAATTTTTTCATTATTCAACGAATTCCACAAGATTGCAGACAAGAAACCCTCCCACACCCTTTTCCAGAGCTAAAAGATACTCTGCGCTTCGATCTTCAGTACTAATGAGCCCCCCTTATGAATCCCGATGTTGTACGGTTATTACCGATCTAGTTAAAAAGCGTACAGAAAGGAGCTCCTCTTAACATACCAAACCATCAATTTCTCCTCAAAATGGATTTTGGCCACGCCTCTTCAATTTCATTAAGTTCTATTGGGAGCAATCTCTAAACACTTCCCTAATCAACGAGAGGATCAGATAGAAAATCACCGAGAGAACATCCCAAACATAAATGATGCCTCAAATCGACAGCCAGAACTGAACATCAAACCCTTTCTCCCCTCCCCCAGTGGAACTGAACTAGGTACTTGCAACTTGTTAGGAAAAACGAGGTTCGAAAAGTCATCCTTCCTTACAGAAATGGTTTCCTACTGTAAACCGTACTCCCCTCACGTTTACTGTACCTACTTTAAGGTTCATGCATACTGTGAAGCACCGGACATTATAATATGTGGTAATAAAGCTGATCTCGAAAATCGACGTCAAGTCAGTACGGCACGTGCAAAGCAGCTGGCCGATCAATTAGGGTGAGGTATTCCGATGAGAATTTATTAATTTATTTTTTTTTTGATAGTTTTACCCCCCGACAGAAGCTTAACAGGGATTTTTTGAATCATCGCCGCTGGGGGTGTGCCATTTGTCCTTTTTCCATTCAGAATTCTCTAAGCGATTCTCTACTGAACGGCGCTGTTCTTCAGCGTCCTACTTAATGTGCCGTTCTAAGAAGTTACAGCATAATTTGCCCAGGGAAAAAAATAGGACGGAACGTGAGAAACGCATGAATGAGCGCAATTATTGACTTTCCATAGCCTTCAATGAGCCAGCCGGAGACGGAGTACTGAGGACTCCTGAAAGGGCTCTCGGAATTGTTAGCAATTCACTGGCCAATTCATCATCTATGGATCTCCTAGTGCACTTTGCAACCAGAAATCTTTCCTATCGGTCTTGATGGATGTCTTTCTAGCCCATCTCCGAGAAAATGCATCGCATTTCTTTTGCAAAATTCCAATTTGGTCGGCTTTCCGGAGGTCTCGGAGGTCTTTCCTTGCAAATTGAATTTCCAGCATATTAAGAACGAAGAAATAATTAAGGCAGTGCCATGGTCGGGGTTCAACCCGCAAAAGGCTCCTCCATTGTTGGGGGAGACGGCTAAGACGAAAAAATTGGAAAGCAAGTTTCCATGGGGAATGAAAAAACGACGAAGATTCACTATAGAAGGTCGGGTAACCTCAAAATATCGAGTTTTTAGGACACCACTTGCATTGTGGTATCATTGAGAAGGAATGATAATGAAAAATAATTGGAGATAGCTCTTCACGGTTGCAATCCTACGTTAGCTGTCCACGTTACCCTTTTTCTGCTATTCGAAAGTCTTACCATAACCAAGAAGTACAGACCAAAAGTTGAAACGAATCAAATTAAGTAATGTAATATAATATAATATAATGTAGTGTAATATAATATAACATAATATCATCTCCATACTCCTTTTTTTTCTTCGCTTACCTTGCTAACGAGGACAAAGCAATGATACACTGCGGTCAAGTTCCCCCCTAAGAACATAAAAAACAAAAACTTTGTTATTTTCCTGTCGAAGCATTTGAAATTCTGGATAGAATCTTTTTTGATCCATAATTGGTTGCACTGAACATCCCACGAGTACACTGGGCACAACAGTACCGACCCGGGGTAAAGGGGTAGTCCTTTTAGGTCGTCGTAAGGACCGAATGGAGATTCCGTAGAACCCACAACCCCCAGCAGCGGTCGACGTCATGGCGAATCTCGAAAGAATTCACTGAACTTGTTCTTTACTTCTCCAGGAACCTTTCGGAAAGCCTACTCTGCATTTCTGCTGCCCGAAAGCATTTGCCGGTCATAGTTTCGATCACAGGTCCCATTAACCCTTCAATTTTTTCTGAAGGGCCATTTATGGGAACGGCGATTGCACTGAAGGTAGGTCTTCGAAATGGCTTCGGAATCGGGCATTTTTCACATTTATGGTACGAGCCCGATTCCTGCTCTTCATAGATCTTCTTGTGTGATTGTAAGGTAGACATCAGCTGACTTGGACTTGAGAATAGGCCGGCTGGCTCAGATAATACGCTTCAAACTTGCCAGGATTTATATAAATCATTGTTATTTGTTAATTTACTTATTTTTATTGGTTATTACAATAGTTTTGAATAGGTAGCAAATGTAAATCATAAATAATTAATAGTGAATTGAGGTGTTTTTCGTGGTTTTTGTGATGGTGTGTCTCTGAAACCTAAAGGCAGACTTCACGATGAAAGTGGTTTTGAGATTCCCTACTGGTATGAATCTGTGGCCAACAAGGATAGCACTCGAGCTCGAAACTCGGCTATCAGCTCGAAAAACAGCCTTAATGAAGCATAATAAGGGCTTAGATTGTTCCCATTGCATAACATACCCGGAAGCCGCGTGATCAGAAAGCAAATTCGTACTTTTTTTGCTTACTGTAACCAACTGAACCCGAAATTGCACAAGGGTGAAATCTCGTCCAAATACCTCTTCGAGTCAAGACTGTTAATAGGCTTGGTCTCATCGGTTTGAATGAGTGAATTTTCGGTGGGTCCTTCTTCGAAGTCCCTTATGCTACCATCACTGGCTGTCCCAAAAACTCCTGCTCCAGTGAAGGAGACCACAGGAAACCATGCCGAAGGATAAGGACGTGTTTGTTTCAACTATGCTTCAATGACTTTCAAAAAAATACAGAATGTATTGCTCTGGTCAAATGAAGCTGAAAAGTTCCCATTCCAGGCTTTGTTAAAATAGAGCCGTCCTCAGAAATGCTCGTCATTCATATGGTTATTTCTTTTGTGAATGAATTTATTCAGACGCCTACAATTGACGTCAATCCTAACAATCACCCGTCTACTGAGCCTCATTAGTCCATCGTCGCCCACTTCCTTCAAAGTGTTCCATAGCAGTTCTCCTATGAAGTAAAAGGGCATCCAAACCAGCTCGATAACTAGCGACTAGCGAAGAATTCCATTTTTGCAACGGCGACACGAGAAGAGTTCGGAGACCTTCATACATGTCCAGACTATCAAATTAAGAACTGAATCTAGCTTAGATGCCTTCTGATCACCGTTCCAGATAAGTCAAATGCCAACTAACGCCAAGGCATATGCCATTCTATGCCAAGACGTTGATTTGAAATGAATGACCTCCCCAACTTTAAAAAACCCCGAGTTTTTCAAATTCGCGCGGTGGGCGGAGTGTTCCCGGAATGGGTGGTGCCTAACAACCAACTTCATAAGTCGAATGGATGGATGTCAAAAAAGTGTGTAAAAATAAGCACTATCTAAGGTCGCCTAGGCGTGTCTAAAGTAGGCGAAGCTCCACCTACGATAGGCAGAGCGTGCTTCCACATGGAATGTGCTGGTTACAAAAGACGTCACCTCGTTTGGCAACATTCTAGGATGTCGGGCAAGAACTGGTAACAGCTGTTGAGGGAAGAGTAGTCAAATTTCAACCGTGGGCGGAGCGTGTACTGAGGTGGGCGGGCTGCAATCAAACCTCTGTTCTACCTCTGTTCCGAGCGATTTTAGTGGGCTGTTGATGCAAGCATTGCGAGCATAGCCCAGATCCAATTTGTTGTTGTAATTAGTTGATGTTTGACGTGAGCAACTCAATTAACTCGCTCCAACCCATATCTCATGGTTTTTCCAAATTTTCCAATTTCTGACGAAGCTTCTCCGTATAAACCATGAGGCTTACCCCTGAATGGATCTCCAAATGGTCCACCGAAACATATGGACGTTTCCATTTAGTAGACTGCTTATTTTGATTACGTCTAATGGGCCATTTATGCATATTACATCGGAATCGTAAACCGAAGTGTCCATGGATCTTCTAATAGCTGACTATTCGTCGAAACAATATGCTAGACTGCCCATTCGGGACTAATCTTGGAGTTTTCCGAGTGTATTTTGGAAGTATTAGACTTATTCGGCGGAGATGGATTAGTGCTCTGGCGCGCTGCTATGACAGAAATCGCCCAGGGATTGAATCTTGGATCGTCTCCAGTAAAATCAAGCTTCCTCTCTATGCGGGCTTTGAAATATTGGTTGGCTTGGTTTGTCACGGAGTCGTCCGGAAAATAAAAGTATGGATCTGAACATATGGACGTTTCCATTTAGTAGACTGCTTATTTTGATTACGTCTAATGGGTCAAAATAGTTGTATAGTCCACCTACGCATTCCAACGCCGCCGTGATTCTGAATGAGAGTCGAATGTGTGGGCGCATCTCGACACGAGATCGATCGAGCCAGAAACATGGTTTTGAGTACTTTATGATCTTTCAGCTTCAGAAAAACCAGTATTTTTTTCAGCCTACCGTATTTCGAGACGTCAGCATGCACATCGACAAATGTCGAACGAGCAGTAGATTGTCTTCTTGATCTCGTCATGCAACGAATACAACAAAGCGTTGAGACATCAGGACTACCCCTCTCAGGTCAGCTTCCTCTCTTTTCGTTAGAGCTATAGTCACCACAATGAACGGTTCGCCTTCACTTTTGCATTCCGATTTCCGAATTCAATGAAAATCTCTACAACAACTGTTCAAGTCGTATAAACGGTCGAAGAAGGAGACGTGTAGTGGCAAGGGGTACACTATCCTACTATCCGGGAGACGGGCGATAAGAACGATTTTGGGTGATCGATTCGCCGCACGCGGCTGTCGCGGACCACTCATTCGCCGTTATTACAGCTCTAGCGTTCTTCATACAGCTCAATCGATATACGATCATTATTTTATACATAATTCTACTATTAGTACTTCTTTTCTTGTATTTCTTACCTACTGCTGCACCTGCTACATTCCTTCGCGCGCGACGCCCCTCTCACCGCGACGCGACCATTTCGTTCCTAACGCACCACACCCCCTACTATCCTCCATGCATGGTTCTGGGACCGAGTCCAGGACCGATACTCGCCCACGCAACCAAGTCTCCCCTCCGGGCTGATTTACTGGTACCAGACCCGTTTTAGAGGATGAAAGCACTGGCTTGGGCATGGGCTGGCCAACGCGAATCATTGTATAGGGCACGTACGCATTCAATTCCGCCACTACGATTCTGAATCCATTTTTGGCGAGTCAAATACAAGGGGGTCCAGGATCTTATAGACTAAAGTAGAAGCTTTCAGTAGGAAAGTATCCATAGTGTCACGAGCTTGTGGGAGATTAGTTAGAAAGCCCTTTGCCACTCAGACCAACAGACGTTATCTTTTGGCGACGTTGTTATTGTCGTAAGTACTTTTCGTCCTAAAGTCCGTACTTTTTCTTCGTCAACAGCCCCTGCTGTGGGAATTCCTTGTGAGCCGTAAAGCCATTGAACTGGGAGCTCACCAAAGATGAATAGGGTTTGAATGAATAGGGTGGGGGCTACCCTACAGATATGTGTACCGATCCACACCTTAACGAATTCATAATTTGTGAACTGTATGGTCGTACCTGTACTACCTACTGCTGACTGTACCTGCAATAGGAAATGTATCACTGAGGCATTCTCAAATTGGTTATACCTCCCAGGCAAGATCCATATAGATTAACCGACTACGGAAAGATTCAATACTCCGCTCGCAGGACGGTATTCGATCCGCGATCGAACTCTCCAACTAGGCACTTTTTCAGTGGTTCGTAGGAGGAGAGGAGGTAGCAGAATAACGAAGATTCAGGCCGGGCCCACGGTTCTTACCCGGGTGTAAGATCGGACGGGAACACCTGGTTATAAAGCAAAACGACCATCATTACATTCAACCACCAACCCACTCATCCCCAACCTCCTATAGCTACTTTTTCTTTCTACCAGCCGTATGAAAGACGGAATTTTGCTTTAGAGGAATAGGAGGGTCCGGGAACTTCTCCCCTAACACGGCGTCGCACACGCCGCACCCGCCGCCTATGGCAGGATTGCGATGAAAGATTGGAGCGCGCAATTTGTGAGGTAGGGAGTCCTTTAATCATTTGAATTGGCTGGTCGCTCCCTTCAATTTCAATGCGGTATTGATCGTCGTTTATATAAGAGGAGTCATTTTAATTAATCAAGTCTAATGAACATGAAAACTAAAAAGAAACAGAAGAAAAAACGATAAAATCCAATGAAAAAGCAAGCCAGTCAAGGAAAAATATCGCGTCCTATCGATTGGCGGGAGGCGGGGTGAGTACGGTAATTGCAGTGACATTTGCCGCATGCCGCAAGGGAGAATGCCGCGATAGGGGAGAAGTTCCGTTACCCGGAATAGGATTATGGTTGTAGAGTTAGACATTTCGTCCGCAACAGTTCTCCGCCAGTCTATTTCACGAAACGCTACCGTAGGAGCGGAGTGTCAGTCTTGAAATTTTGTTTTAGTGGGTAGAAGGAAACGAGGCTCCTATATGGGAGCATTGATTTTGCAGAGATTCAGAAGCCTTTTTCGTGGATTCGAAAACGGGATGCGTTGTCTTGATAAATTACAAAGAATAAAGCCATCGGCCATCGAGCAATCCCGTTTTTGGGATGCGCCCCCCTCAATTGACTCCCATTCAGAATCCTTCGGGCGTATTTAATGCGAATGTGGCCTTTACAATGACTTGCGGCCAACCAACGAGCAAGTCAGTGCTTTTACCCTTCCAGACAGGTATAAATTAAACGGCCCCGGAGGGATGATTGAAGGGTTGCATAGCCTGGGGTAGTATCGATCCAGAACTCTATCCTCGGACCATGCGATGTGGTAGGACGAAAAAAGTGGAACAAAAAAATCATCTCGAACTAGCAAAAATCCCCTCATTCACAGTCAGAAGGCCAAAATAGATGAAGCTGTCCACACAACTGCATCCCTAATGAAAAGCATTTGTTTACGTCACGAGCGTCACGAGGTATCTCGAAAGAGCGCTGCGGACAGGAAGGATATCCATAAAGCCGACAGCTATCCACTGAACGTGGGCATCTTGAGGGGAACTTGCCGCAAAACCCTAGTAACTCGGAGCGGATCACTTGGGAGATGGTGACATAACTTTTTCTGGAAAACATCTTGTCCCAACCAGATTTTTCTTCTAATCTGTAGTTACTGTAGTTATACAGTCTACAGTTATACAGAACTTTCCCGAGCCCGATGGAAACCTATAGTTGAAGCAGGATAAGCCCGATGCATCAGCCATTTCCTCCAACACTTCAACTCTTCGCCCTCGTGGTACCCATGAATGTCACAGTTATTTCCATAGTGAGGCATAAGGTGCCCAACAGCGAAGTGACTTTGGCCCGAAAGTTACTCGTGAGTATGGCTTTACCTCCCACATCGGCCAAATGCGATCTCCAGAGAGCTCATTCCTCTTCATGCTTGACGCTACTATTTCAGAGTCAACATAAGGCACTGATTAAGAAAGGGACTGCCTCTCAGCGATTGTTGCTCATACTGTTTCCACCTTGAAACCCGCGGGCGATTAGGGGGAAAGTCGGATCTATGGCGCACTTCGAGGCGACTTCTCAGCCATTTACCATACAAGGAAAAGATAGCCTGAGAAGTAGAACTCTTGTTAAGGCCTTGGGCTACTTTGTTCCAGCGGACTCACAGGAAATTCTTATTTTCCGTTGACGAAACTAATCTGCCGTCGTGAAAACATATCGATTTTGAAACTCAATGAAATGCAGGACGTATTCGCTCTGTGTTCTTATTGAAATTGCATTTCCGTGGCATTCCAACAAAGGGGAAAGCTTTGCATTAGGCAGTTCCACGAATGAAAACGTCGTTGGACGTCGTTAGTCTCTGGGGAAACGACCAAAGCAATGATTCACAAGTTTTTTAAGCTCAAAAGAAAGTGCACGCTATTCCACAAGCCATTCCACAATAATTTGCCCGCAGTATTCGCTAAACGCTAGATGCAGAAGCTTTCACGAGGGGTTAGCAAGGTCCTGGCTGCAGACCATGTCAATCGTGGCACGTAGAAACCCTCCTCTACCAAGTCCTCGCCTAACAGCTTCGAACCAATATTGAATGCGCCCCATTTCCGACCTCCATTTAGAAGCGTAACAGAGTTTCGAACGCGTATGTGGCCTATAAAATGATTCGCCAGGCAGACCCGTCAACAATTCGATGCTTGTATTCTCACAGACGAGTCTCGTACCAACTGGCCTACCCTGGGTGGATGGGAAACTGCTGGCCAAGGCGTACATCGATCCAGGACTGGATTCCCGGACCATGCGCGTGTGGTGGTGTACCACCTGTCAATAAGGGAACAAATACTTAATTCAGGTAGAAAGTCCAGAGTAAAGCCGATTGAAAGCAAAAAGTATTTTCAAATAAAAAAAANCTGTATCCCTAGCTACGAGATTCTGTCTAAGGTCTACTCGTAATTCCTATTCTAATCCAAAAGTCCCTGTCGGAACATCTTCTGCGGTAAAAATTTACGTGCCATAGTTGTTAATCAATCTTGTTTTTGGGGTGCGCCTCGGCACTCGATTCACATTCAGAGTCGTAGCAGCGTTTGAATGTGTATGTGGCCTATGTAATAACGTGAAATGGCCAGCCGATGTACAAGTCAGTGCTTTCATCCTCCCAGACGAATCTGGTACCAAAAACCGACCCCGGTGGACTGGAAGGCTCGGGTGGGCAGGGCGGGACCCGATCCGGGATTCGATCCGCGTACCATTGAAGAGTAACAATGCGCCTCTTGCCACTACATAATCTCCTCTTCTTTTTGTGGCATTTACTACAAAAAAATATTTTGATTTCAGAATGCCGAGGAGTTAGTCTGGATGCGGATGCGCCCTCAACGTCTTCCTACTGTAGCAATTGCTGATCGCGCAGATCCCTGTTTTCTATTTTTGTACATCAAAAAATCATTTAATACTCAATAATTTTATTATCTTCCGGTGTGTTGTGCCTATATGTGTTGAGCACGCTTTTTTTNTTTTTTTGCAAAAATCTCTCCTTTTCCTTTTGCTAAAATCCTAGCTGCCAAATCGCCAATCGTCGATGATTAGTTTATCGCTCACACAGCTTTCTAGTCCGTCAACACCAAATCCTAATGCATTATGTTTATGTTGTGCACGTTTATTGATTGTTTATCGCCAATTTGGAATCTGTCCTTTGAAACGAAACTCGTATAATGATCGCTAGTTTTAGTCAGTGCGTAAACCGACCGAATAATCGGCTACATATCATTAGGTCCTGAGTTGTCTTTCTATGCTACGCCGCTCCGCGACTGTTCCTAATTTACAGATTTTAAAGGCATTGTTCACGATAGAATTCAGTATCGTTCTTCCCGAATCCTTAGGCCCACGTAGGGATGTGCACGACTATGAAGAAACTGACTTCGTCCCTATTCATTTGAGAGATACTTTCCATCCTGGTCCATACAACTACCCGGTACCCACATAGAGATCCTGCATAACTCCCAAAAAGTATAAGACGGGCTTTGAACTCAAATTCCCACGTTCCCTGGCAGGTAGGAGGCATCAGATCCGTGGCAAATACCGTAATAATCCACCACAAGTTTCAGTTTTACCCTTTACTGTGTGCTCCCATACAAGGCTTGGCAGGTGTGGCTTCCGTGACACGTCTTCCTAACAAGAAGTTTAGGGGGAGGGGGATGAGAAGACAAATGGTGGGCGGGGAAACCGAAATGTGTGCAAACATGACAATTTTAGGACAAATCCCTCAAGTTTTTAAACTCAAAGAATTAAGGTAGCTATAATCCCAGTTGGGTCATTTTGTTTCGCTGCCCACTTCGGCGGTAACTATTGGCCCAGAAGTTTTCTTCCCATCCAGACAGTTTCTAACGTTTTTTTTAACTTCTGTTCACACCCACTCGGGTTTATGGGCAGAGATTCCTATACATACATAGTGGTGATATCAATAGAAATGTGAAATGAAAAAAGTGTCCTGGGGAGTCGCTCACACACTGACCAATTGTAGAACCAGTTTTCCGTCGCCTCGCTAGGGTCTGATCGATTCAAGTGGCCAAAGGTCGCTTACGTTCGCTGCCTAGAAAAAAGCATAGCCTCGAACGTGGACTCCCTTCGAACCGTGGGGGCGGAGCTTGTGAGGAGGGCGGGGTTGCGCAGCGCGGTTGGCTTCGCAAGTTTCTGATGTGATTCCATTTCAAATTTCGAGAAAAATTCCTAGTAGCGCAACGATCTAGTTCTCCCTTTTTACTTACGCCTCACTGATTCCTATTGTTTTTTGAAAAAAATTTCTTCGTGAACCTTGCCTTGGGACGTACATTAGTAGTAATATTTCGCTCGATTGTAGCATAATAAATCGTCATCACTATCAGGAATCAAGAAACTTTTCATAAATAAAAATTTTTCGAAAGGTGTTGAACTGTTGGCCGCACCGCATGTTAAATAATGATTCAAGATAAACAAAATGTTTTCTAATGTTTTGAGAGACCATTTGTCACTAGAAAACACTAGAAAAATGACATTTCTTCGACAGTTTTTGAGGTCCCCTAATGATCTATTCTTAATCATTGGCTGTGCTGATGAAGCTTCTAATCATGCCCCAAATTTCCTAACAATAATAATCTTCAGACATCAAAATTACCGTAAAACAAGCGAAGGAACCTCATGCTTTGTTCCTGCAGTCACTGTCCTAAAAAACGAGGTTCACCTGATCCATCGTGAAAGCCGCACGTTTATTTTGAGGTTTTCACTTCTAAACCTACTTTTTATCAATCGCCTTATGAAACGGTGCGCTGCCCTCAGATAAGGCGAAGACTATCTAAAGTGCAGATGTTTTTTTTTCAATCAATCGATCTGTACCACACGTAGAAGGGAGTGGGAACTCATAAGCTTGCCAAGTATCACCGCCCACCATGTTCTACAGATAATGGGAACAGCCTAAGGGCCTGACTCACCTTAAAGAGCCTCGTTCGCCCATCTTTAAACACAGTGAACAGTGATACCTGGTAGTCCGACCTTGAATGAGAATGCATAGGAAATTTTTTTAAATGCAATGACTGCTGGAAGGTGAACTAATGATATGCTCTGCACTATGACTCAAGCATGATCGGGGGACCAAATCCCGGATCATCTAGGCCGACCAGGCTAGAGAGAGTTTATTATAACCTCTCAAAAACAAATACTTGGACAATAAAGGTGTGTAACTTCTGAGCAACGGCTCTGTCTGTCAGATTGATCACTTGGTTTGCGATACCTTGAAGATGGTTTTTTCATAATTCTAAATGGGAAAGGCTATGTTATGTTTTTTAAACAGTGAATAGGGCATAAGCCCTATTATCTGAAGTTATTGCCCATAATCTGATGCCATTATCGAACAAAAGCAAAAAAGATAACGAAGTTTTCATGAAACATTTCGCTCAAAACAGAATGCCTTCGACTGGAGAAATGCACAAATCTAGAACTATTGATTAATTGATTACATTCATTAATTATTGGAGGTTAATCGGAACTGCAGGACATGATATCACGAACATTTGACTGTTTGTGATGAAATGAGATAGTCTATGAAAACTTCGACGGTTCATCGTCCTCATTTCTGGGAGGCGCCCCGCATTCGATTTCCATTCAGAACCGTAGTGGCGTAGTGAATGCGTATGTGGCCTATTACAATGACTCCCGGTGGCCAGCCGATATTCAAGTCAGTGCTTTCTTCCTCCCAGACGAGTCTGCCACCGATTAATCGACCCCGGAGGGATGGAACGCTTGCTTGGCTAGGGCGGATATCGCTCCGGGATTCGAGCCCGTGACCACGCGTGTGTGAAGTGTGCCACTCGCCACTACACCACCACCCTTCTAAAATTTGATAAACGATACAAATACGATAGGTGGCTAATCAGATCTCATTCCGGTTTATAGAATTGGCATTGTACTTCTCAAATGTTGCGTGTACTCCTTAATCAATCGAGTAGATTCTCATCCCAAAACAGTATTCGATTGTTCTTTGACAGAATTGATTGATAACAATTCCCTTGCTGCCACTTTCATTTCATTGACACCTGTGAACATGCCGTTCGCTAAGTAAGTTCCAGTTTTCTCACCTAGTAACTGGTTTAGATTATTAGGAAGTAATTCGATCTCAGTTCTATTCGATTATGACTATCCCTAATGGTTGAATTCAACTAATTCAAGCCCGAATGGTATGTTCTTTCGTTTAAACTTTATTCACTGCGGTTATCCAGGGTTCCCAATCACAACTGTGGGCATCCATTTATGGCACCAGGTTTCCGATATAACTGTTTTTATTAAGTTCTTTCAAAACTTACGTATTGAAGTGATCAAGAGTTATGACATTTTTTTGGCGGCTTAGAATTGAGAAATGGAGAAAATGGGAACGTTTACCACAAAATTAAAAGAGATTATGGAAACCCTGCCAAATATTGATACAAAGAGGAGTTTGTAATCACTAGTATAGTAAGGGGCATATATAGAGATAAATTTATATGTTACGAGTTTTCTATTAGGGATAGTTTCAATAAAATGACCTATTTAATTGATAGGATCATTTCCATTCTTAATTAAAACAATACCTTTACCCATTCCTTTTTTCACTAACCCCAAAGTACTGATGAGACTCAGGGGAAGGTGGAGACGGTGGTTCGTCTGGTGAAGAGGCGAAACAAGCCATCTTCAGTTTGCATGCTTACTTTGTCCTTTTGATGTGTTTGCTTACTGTCGTTTTTATGCTCCACTGACTTCAATTTGTTACACTTTACTTATTAGATCCATAAATACATGGGCTAGTTACGAATAAAACCTTACTAATTGCCACCGCCGAAAAAGTGGTTGGGAACTCGACAGGGAATTAGGGATGGAAGATCGTGAAAGTAATATCAATTGGTAAAGAAGGTGAGGTGATGATGGAGAAAGATCAAAGAATACTGCAAAGGCACAGCCCCCTCCTTGTTTCCACGTCACGGACTCAGCCTATTCGGTTAAACTCAGCAAGATTAACTCCTCTTACTCTTCCTTCAACCCCACCCCTCCCCTCATGCCCCTCCTTCCCCGTCACCCAGTACTCTTACAGAAATTCCCCAGTTGTGGGAGTCAACAGCCGACTCCATGAGGGTTGCCACAGCTTACGTGCTATCAAGTATATCACATAACCATTCATCAGAGAACTCCATGATTCTTCTTATCACTGACTTCTTCGTTTCATCACTAATGGGTGCACTCCCCCCATCGAACTCCAAGGGCCCTTTTGTTTTCAGTACCACGTTAATATTGTCATTGTTTTGAAATATTTCTCTGCTTTCTTTGATTTTGCTTTTCGATAAGATCAAAACCCCAGTTCACGATAGTTTGGAGGTTCTAAAACCGAACAACAGAAGTGATGGCACAAGTGCAAAAAGCGAAGAAATCGTGAAAATCCTTGAAATTTGAAATTCGTTGAAATTTTGAAATTTGGAAAACCTCTCAAAAGTTTAACAAATAGGGTTGTATGAGATAACGTCAACCGAAGTTGCACAGAAGGGACTTTTGGAAGGTATGTCAAGCTGGGCAATTGCGCAGTATTGTCTACAGCAGGCCTAAAAAGCTTTCCACTATCGTTTAGTCACGGTTTTGAGTTAATTTAGTTTAGTTTGGGAATGTTGTCGACCTCCGCTTCGATTTCTACTGTTTTGTTATGGTTGCTATTACCTTTTTGTTTTTTTTTTATTGTTCTGGGGTTCTCTCTGGTCAACTGTATGAGTTTTCAACAAAGCTGCTCCAGTGCTAGTAGTGCAGCGTCCGCAAGGTCCTCAAAACACGGCCACGCTTGGGGGTAGCATACAGTGGAAATAATTCTTTACCTCTATTCGGCCTTATCGACTTGTATGCTGTTTTTCGACCTAACAGCCCCACATATGACTTACATGGGGACCGCATATTCCTCTTGAGGGGAAAACAGGGAAATCGCTTTGTCGTCAACTCTGCCTTCAAAGCGAGCTAGAATCAAATCACGCAACGACAGATCATGAGAAAATATGACATTTCAAAGCATAGAAAATTAATAGGATTCTGATAACATAGCCGACATTCTTTCATGATTCAAATTGTGACTTCTATGCTTCAGCATGGGGAACGCCGTGCCTCGTTTCTTGCGAAGTTCCAACCAATTTCTTGCCAGCTTGCGAACGGCATCAGCCGCCAAGGTTAGTGATAATAAATTTGTTCTCGGAGTTCGTATACAATTTTGCTAATCGTTTTTCTATTCATGAATGATCTTCTTCAATTTTTTAAACGATCGATATCAAGCACATGTTGTGGGGTTCCATTACTTCCGAAGATGGGGACAATGGGCGTTATCGTTACCACAAATCAGCTCATTCTTATCAAAGCCATAGAAATTCAATTTCCCTTGGAATACCTGAAAAACGTTTGCCTATCTCCCACGTGCTGGAAGGCACATGACACTATAACATTTCGATGTCGTGCTTATCAGAATGACATCGTTTTGGGCCGACTCGAGGGATCATCACTCCGTGATGGGTGGGTGGATGTCAGGGGTAATTGTAAACATTTGGGGCGAAGTCTTGTCACGTCCCAAACTTTGTTGATATCGAAGAGGAAAGGCAAGAGAGCAGTAAGAGGAGGATAATGGTACTGACTTGTACATAGGTTGATTACCGCAAGTTGTTGTAGGGGCAACATACACACCAAAACGCCGCTACGATTCTGATAGAAATCGATTGCTTGGGCGTAACCCAAAAGAAGGATTGTTCAAGGAGTTTTTACTACACCCTTCAATTACTCCTCTTCAGAAGGTCTGGAAAGTAGTATGCTGCAATAGAATTTTTTCTTTTCAGGTTCTTGTGAAGGACAACATCAACCCTCAAGTAATCACGATGCAATATGCCGTTCGTGGACCTATCGTCATCAGAGCCGTGGAAATTGAAAAGGAACTGGAGAAGGTTGGTATTGGTCGCAATTGTGTCTCGTACTTGGGCTCTACTTTCAGCTTCCTCCCTATTTATAGGGTGCTAAAAAGCCATTCAAAAGCGTTATCAAGGCCAACATAGGTGATGCTCATGCCATGGGTCAAATTCCAATCACTTTCAATAGACAGGTAAGCTTATGCTGCTAATATTCCCATTTCAGCGAAATTGTAGCGAGTATTGGAGCGCCCATGCTATACTTCACTACTCTCGAGAAACTGTGAGGGACTTGGTCTCATTCCCGGTATATAGTCAGCCGCGGAGAATTTTTTTTTTCAAAAATTCGTTTCTAAACGGTCTGGTTCTTTCTGACTGCTGAAAAGAGAGTAGTACTGAGTTTATTAGTTACCGTATAGAAATTTTAACCTCTTGATCAATGGTGCATCTATTAGGGGAGTATCTGTCCAAGCTACCAGAACATAACAAATGTAGAGCTCTTGCAGGAGCAGGCGAATTACCCCTATGGTTCTTTTCGGTTCGCTTTTTGTCATGTAAGTCCTACCACCCTATAGTGCCTCACATCCGCTTGAAAGCTGCTTCTATCTCAGGCGGTAGGATCCCTACCTGTGGGATTTGAAGAATAAGTAAACGTCTCTTCTGCTGGAACAGGTTATTGGGTGAACTGTAGTCTCAAAAGGCTTTGAATAAAGTTAAAAGGACAAAGTTTTTGGCGTTAACCAAACCCGTCTGAGGGATGCGCCCCCGCACTCGATTTCAATTCAGAATCGTAGTGACGTAATGAGTGCGTATGTGGCCAATTCAATGACTTGCGGTGGCCAGCCAATGTACAAGTCGGTGGTTTTATCCTCCCAGACGAGTCTGGTACCAACTTGCCGACCCCGGAGGGATGGAAGGCTTGGTTGGCCTGGGTGGGCATCGGTCCGGGATTCGAACCCCTGACCGTGCGTGTGATATAGTGCGCCACTTGCCACTACACCATCTCCGCCCCTGGCTTTGAATAGATGACCTCAATTCCCTTGGACGCTTAATGACTGCAAAAGCTCAATTGATGCTTGAGGTTTATTTGACTCTAGTGATCGCCAACCAGAGCTCGCTCTCGCTCAAAATGCACCTACTAACCGCTTGTTCCCAATACAAAATTTTATCACCTTTTATGGGAGATTATCACAATGTACCACTATTTTCAGTTGCTATCGTGTCTTGCTAACCCGGTGTTGATGAAAACAGCAAACTATCCTTCCGACGTCGTCGAACATGCAAAGGTGAAATACATTCATCGTTAAGCCAGCAAGTACCTATTACTCGTACTGTAACAGGTAGTAATAATGTAGTACCTAGGTTCCTACTGCTAACGATGTCCATGTCATGATGAAAGTAGTCTTATTTAAGGTTCTTCTTGATGCCTGCGGTGGGAGAAGCTGTGGCTCGTACAGTCAAAGCCCAGGACTTGACATAATCCGGAAGCACATAGCTGAATTCATTTCGGTAGGCCGTTGTTTTGTCGGAATAACCTCATTTTTCCTATTCCAATTATTTATCGAGATCTTTGATTCATCTCAGAAACGTGATGGCTTCCCTTGTGATTATGAGAACGTCATTCTGTCTGGAGGAGCTTCTGAATCCATCCGTAACGTCCTCAAGTTATTCGACCGACGTGACGCACCGAAACAAAGCGGCATTATGATTCCAATACCGCAATATCCACTCTATTCTGCGTCAGTAGCCGAATTTGGACTCGGACAGGTACGCCTTTGATGTTCTATGCTCACATCATTTCGATGTTCTGGTAATGCTTGTGCAAAGACCACTAAATTCACAAGACCCATCTCACCCACCTACCCATCGAAAGATAAGGGTGACAATTTGGGAGCTGGAAAAAATGCATCAGTTCCCTCTTTTGCTACGGTTTTCTGTCTCTCATTTAAATTCCAACAAGTCTTCTTTCCTCACTATCAATCGTCCTCTTGCGTTTTGGAACTAGAATTTTTCTGAAGGTAAGGTTCTAGAGGCTGAGCAGAACAAGATAAAAAATAGGTGTATAGGAAAGTTAAACACCAAGAGGGAGGTCGCCCATAATAACCGTAGACATAGTAGGAGCTGCGCATCATTCCCCTCAGAAAGGGAGATTTCTGGGCGATTACCAACCTGAAATTTGATCCCTGGACAATATGAGCAGCAACGGCTTCTTCTGACACTGTTCCACCTTTGCCTGTACCGTACATTAGATACATGCAAAAGTAGTTGAAAAAGATACCAAATAACCTGATCAAGAGGGATTAAAAGGTTTATGGAGGGGTACATTCAGGTAAGAGATTTGTTCTATGATTCTTATGTATAGTCAGTTGACCCTACCCTCTCTGGTCAAACCTTTAACCCTTTGACGACAGCGCGCCTTTTTGCGTGTCTGGCGCGCGGGACAGACGCGTTTCGAAGCTTTCCGCTTTGGCGGCTCACCGTTGAGCCGCGCTGTCCCACGGTTCATA